ATTTGTGTTGTTAACTCATTACAGAATTTTTTAAAAGGCTGATCATTGCTATTTGAAAGATGTATTTAGTAGCTACAAATATTTTTAAAATTGTTGCACACATCTGTCTTTATTTCGATCGTATTAAAAATTCCATCTTTTTTAATTATCTTGTAAATATACAATGTACATCCATATATTATACAATATATGTATACATATACATGTATACATACATATTTTCAAATTTCAAAATATTATTTAGTTCGAGAAGAAATTTAATAGAAAGAGAAGAAAAATTTGCAAAAGAATAATCGGATAGGATCCAATATATGTATTGGGTGGATATCATGTATCTAATGAATATCAGTAAGTAAAGATGGAAGGGGGCTATCACGCCGTTTCATTTAAAGCGCATGCTTGAGCGTCTTCACCGCATTTACGTTTCAGCTGTGAACTCGACGATTTGGATATTCACCTTCGAGTGTTATTTGCGTTCACATTGGTTTACAAGGCTCTTGAAGAGAAACATATAAGCGATTCTTCAAATAGTGTCTATCATACGAATTATTCCTTTTTTAATTTTTTTTTTAATTTAAACTTAACTCATTCCACCACCGTTCCCAGTTCTAGTAATCTATAATCCTTGAACCCGGTATCCTAGGAAAGCTACGTTTTATTTTCTTATTTGCGACATCAATTTTCAACTAAATTTTTTATTATTGTCATTACGGAAATTAAACGCGATAACTTTAACTTCAAACGAAATGGCTTTGAAAATTCGTGTCGACTCGTCGAAGGTGAAATATACAGAAGATTATATCGAAGCACAATACGAGTACCAAACGACGAACGTTACAGAAGACGATGGTTCGAAATACACGGTAAGAGCATATACCAAGACACTGTCTTTACATTATTTTGTTTTATATTCTTTCAATATCGAATGTTTCACATCGTATATTTATTAAAATTTCACTTTATATAGAAAATTCGCAAAATAAAGATAAAAAATCAAGAATACTATATACTTGCTTATTTTTTGCCGCATTTATGTTACGATAAATTAAGCATGCTTTACAAGTACTTATTAAATAAATTATAATATATAAAATTATAATAAATAATAAAATTGGTATGCTAAATACACAAATACAATTAATTCTATTCTTATTTAGAGAATATATATCTTTACGTACAGTCATTTCTATTATTACGAAAACGATTTTTTTTTAAGCAATTATAAAAGCAAAATATTAATCAGCATATACTAGTATTATAATAAAAAAAACTAACACATATTTAAAATGAATCAAATAATTTTCGTATTTTAAACGAGAAAAATGAGACTACATTATATATATATAGTGAAGAAAATAACTTTAAAAATA